GACCTCAGGTTAAACTGACAAAATAGAATCCTTTAGAAAGAGCAGCGTTCTCCATTACCTGCAGCACTTCAAGTGGGACAGGAGTTGTCGGGAGGCATGTCGCAGAATGAATCCTAATAATCAATGGATTCAATTCACTTATCTGTCTCTCAGACATAAGAGGCTCTTCTGCAGTGAAAGTTACATATGCATCTAAAATCTTAGAAGATTTCTCTTGTAGTCGACTAATCACTAACGTTTCTCCTGTGAAACAATATGAAATTAAATATTAAATCTTTAGAAAACAGTCAAAGAAAGACTAATTAATACCACAGTTTCAGTTAGTAACATATGCTGACACTGGAGCAGCACTGAAGCTGAAATATAGAAGTATTTTCAATTGTTCTAAATATTATAATTATTTATAATTTGTATGGTAGAACCTCAGTGTTAGGAGCACTAGAGATACAAACTGTCCAGCCAACCACACACCTCCTTTGGAACTGAAAGTATGCACTCAGACAAAAAAACAAAGCCAAATACAGGACAGCACTGTGTTAAATGTACACTATTAAAAAGAGAAAGGGAAAGTTAAAAAAAAGATTTGACATGTAAATAAACTTTCTGTGCTCATTTCATTTAAATTAAGATGGTTGCAAGTAGCATTGTTCTTCTGCATAAGACAGTTTCAAAGATGCATTAAGTTAATGTTCAGCTGCAAATTTTTGAAAGACCAACCACCCATATTTTGTTTAGTGTAACAGACCTCTATTCCCAAAGTATTTATAACTCTGAGGTTCTACTATGTTACAGTAGAAACTAAAGGCCCCAATGATGTCAGGGTTTCATTGTGCTAGAAGACTTACAAATTAACTATGTACTATAAATATATCAGTGCTATTTTAATAGTTGTTAAAAGGTTTTTAACAAAAGGTTAGACATTTGGTTACACATAGATAAATGCCTTTAAAAAGAGAGAGCAGCTATTTCATGAGCTTTCTTTATTTCACCGTACTATATTTCAACATATATGTCACAAATCTCTTTTAACTACTTTCACTGTTTCAGAATCAACTCTACGGAGCCAGGAGTAGATATATTTCGCTAGTAACAGTAACTGTCTACATATGGGCAGCTAAAAAGTTGCAAGCATATCATCCCATAAATGTTATTAATGAAACAGTAATGTCAAGTTCATAAATAAGGACTTTCACATGAGTATGACCAGCAGGCAAACTTAAAAGCAATGAACAGTCTGATAGCACTTTAAAGACTAACAAAACATGGAGATGGTATCATGAGCTTTCGTGCGCACAGCCCAAGGATTTAGGTTGACTAGCTAAAATTGCTCAGAATCTTTACTAGAGCTACCCCGCCCCCCCAACTTTTCAGGCAAAATTTTCAACAGGCTTTCAGAAAATTCACCTGAAAAATTTCCAAACATATTCATTGGCACTGGCAAGTCATCCATTTGATACTCATATTTGTATATATTTGCTAACTTAAATGAGTTTAACATTTTTGTATGCCCCTTGAAAAACATGCAATCCCACTTCAAAATGTCTTAGTATGCTCTGGATCCTGTTTCTGCTTCCCCATTTCATCTTTCAAAGTCCTGAACCTGCCTTATTCATATGAGTAATCTTTGCTCATGTGCCCCATTGACTTTAATCCAGGATGGATTATAATTCCTGCACCTTGTACCCAAATTCACTCCCAGAGACCACACCCTGCACCTCACACCCAAATTTCCGCCCCTCCTCCTCCCCAAGCCTATACCCCTTCCATGGCCAAACTCCCTCCCAGAGCCAGAGCCACACAAATGTCAGGTGGACTATGTCCACATGGCTATAGGCTGCGCATGCATGGGGGCCCATTGACAGTTCTGCCCTGGGATTGCTGTCGGCAGGCCGATTCCTCAATTCCCATCTATACCCCTTTCCTCCCAGTCAGGCATTCCCTTTAGCTCAACAAACTCCCTCAATATTATAAACAAGGAAGATTTATTAACAAAAAATATAAACAAAACTGGACAAAGAGAATGAGCACAGCATACATGAAAACTAGGGAAAAGAATGTTAACCACAAACTTTAAGCCGAACCCCGACCTATAGCATGCAGAGAAACTAACCTCTCCACCTTCGAATAAACACTCCACCCCCAGCCGGTCCTGAACCAAACAGGATCCAATAAAGCGTAAATCTGCATTGCTAGAACCCTGCAGGAGTCTTTCAGAGAACACTGTGCCATAGGCAGAAATGTCAGGCTTCCCTTCAAGTCCAAAGCCCAACTAAACTTCCTAACCATTGGTCTTCTCCCCAGCCAGCTTGCATTCCAGAACCCAATGCTCCCCATGGGCATCTCCCATGGTAACTCCCTAAGGCTACGTCTACACTACAGGCTTCTTGCACAAGAAACTTTTTGCAGAAGAGATCTTCCACAAAAACTTCTTGAGCAATAGAGCATCCACCCTGCAAAAGTGCATTGAAAAAGCCATGTGCTTTTGCACAAGAGTGCCCAGACACATAGGATGCTTTCTCGCAAAAAAGGCTGCCGGGAACCACTTCAGGCAGGGCTTTAGGTCACCAGCTGCTTCAGAGGGCTGGTGGCGGAGCCTTGCAGAGACTCATGCTTAAAGGGACCTCTCTGGACAGCCATTTCTCTGCTGCTGCTGCCTGCTTGCGGACCTCTTTGAGGAACAGCAAAGCTTCAGCAGTGCCTGCTGTAGTTGCCCTGTGCTTTTGGGGGATGCCACGGCTTTGTGTGCCCTGCAGCCAGAGCTGCCTCTGGGCAGGCAACGGCCCCACACGGCCATGCTGCAGTTTTTGCAGCATTTGCTGCCAGCTGCCTTCCTCTTCCTGGAGGACCTGAAACCCAAGCTCCTTCTGGGGACCCTCTCAGTGGTTGCAGCTGCTCCACTCTAGCAACCACACCCCACTCTACAGAGAAGGTCCTGGAGGCTGGAGACCAGCTCGGACTGGTGGTACCGGCTGGTCCTAGAGCGGTGGGACGACTAGCAGTGGGTGCGGAACTTTAGAATGCACAAGGCCACCTTCCTAGAGCTCTCTGCCTGGCTGGCACCCGCCATCCAGAGACGCGACACTCACCTTAGGCCCGCCATCCTCCTGCAGAAGCGGGTCGCAATCACCCTGTGGAAGCTCACCACTCCAAACAACTACCAGTCAGTGGGCAACCAGTTTGGGGTGAGGAAGTCCACTGTCGGGGCCCTCCTAATGGAAGTAAGGTGCTCCCGGGCTGCAGTCCCAGCATGGTGGGGAAGGGGAGAGTGTTGGATAAGAGGGACCCTTGGGAAAATGGGGCTGGGGACTGTAGGGGGTGGAGTGGGGGTGGGGAGAAAGCCTGTTTCCGGGGGACTTGTGCCATCTTACCCTCATACAGCCCTGCTGCTGGGGGGTGGGGTGGGAGTGGGCTCATAGGAGGGGGCTCCTGGAGGGTTTTGGGGGGGCCACAGGAGGGAAGGGGCACAGGCACCTCCCATGGGCTCAGTCACCCCGGGCACGTCTAAACTACAAAGTTTTTTCGAAAGAAAATCCCACGGAATTTGCATAACTTCTGATCACATTTTTGAAAGACTTTTGAAAATGAATATAGTTTAGACGAGTTTTTTAAAAAAAAACCAAAACCCTCCTCCTAAAAAAAGGAGATTTATGTGGTTCTTCTCCTTGACCCACAATTCCAGGAGGGTTGCAATCTCTGGGACAGACCATGTTGAGGTGCGCCTTTTCATCCCCCTGGGGGGGTCCTGGGACCCCTATGGCTGCTCCCTGGAAGAGCCAGGGAGATCTCGGGGGCTTGTGGCTCCGTCATGGGTGGCAATGGCAGTGGGAGAGAGAGCCGCGTGATGAAGGAACTGCTCTTAGGCTGGCTTCCTGCCACAAGGCTTGTCCAGGGTGCCTGCAGCTTTAAGAGGGGCCAGCAGACAGGAACTATAGAGTTCTGATTACCTTGGACGGAGTGGCCTCCAGGGCACCTGGTTTTTTTCCTGGAGGCCATTTCTTATGCAAAAACCCCTTTTCCCCATCCACACGCCTTTTTGCACAAGAGCTCTTGCGCAAAAAGGCATTCTTCCTCATAGAAAGAGGAATACCAATTGCACAAAAACCCCTCTGATCTTTCAATTCTCTTGTGCAAAAACGTGCTTGAAAGTGTGGATGCTCTGCGAGTTTTTGCACAGAAACTCTGTATTGCAGACATAGCCTAAGTCACGTCCAGCATGAATTTGGTTGCTTTGGAAGCCTGTATTTGTACATAGTGACCTGTCCCTCCTCCCCATACTGAACCATACCTGAGAGGAGAGGCATAAGGTCCAGTTGCAAAGATGCTATGCCACACTTCTTTGTTAGTGCTGCAATCAGGGCCTCTGCATTGGACACTTTACAGCTGCTCTGCTTTTGTTCTTTAACAGCAGAGCCCCTTCTAGAAAAAGAACTTTTCTTTCTACCTGTTCATAGACGTGAGAAAGAATTCCTTTAAGATTAAACAAGGCAAAAAGTTACAAACATACTGGAATAGGTAATGGGCCGGTGGGGGCCAGAATATAAGATTTCAAGAATGTATTATAAATGAGTTAGGCAATACACTTGAGAAATCACTTCTACAACCTATTTCTTACTAAATACCAACTCCTTCCCCCCAAAAAACTGTGTTAACAGAATGTTAAGATTTTAGAGTTAAGCATTTGAAAGTTTGAACATTAGTGTGGTTGCCTGTCTAACCTTAATTTGGCCTCCTGGTGTATATGCTTAATTATACAGACATTAATCAGATGATCTCATACTATTTTTTTCATAAGACATCTCCCTCATTCAATGCACATAATGGACTTCCCTAGTGGATAGTTAGGGTTGCAGAGAGAGAGAGAGACTGTCTATAGGAACAATTTAAAAACCAACAAATAGACTAGTAGCACCTTAAAGAACAGTCAGAGCCCTCTTCATGGAGGTAAGGAGCTCTAGGGCTGCAGTCCATGCACAGCGGGCGGAGAGAGGGAGGAGGAAGGGAAGAGTGTTGGATAAGGGGGACCTTTGGGAGAGTGGGGCTGTATAATGCTTAACATGAATGGAGGGTGCACAGGATGTACTCGTGGTCTAAGTTCTTCCACCACAGGTTTGGAACCAGATCTGAATTATGTTTCATGCTTGCCCAAATATTTCTTGCACAACCTCTCTTTGTTTTGTGCCTCTTATGGCAGCTTTACTGCCCACTCTTGGCCATACATAGACACTTGGCCAGTGACATCAGCCAAGAATGAGAAGATGGTGCTCTGTGCCTGAGGGGTAGAGGACTGCACCCTGTGGCCTTTGGCAGCCAAAGACAGTGTAACAGACATGGAATGGCAAAAGGTGATTGCCTAATTTCAGAATGAGAATGGTAACTCTAGTGCCAACCTCATTTGTTTTATTTCTATAAGGTAAATCCCCCTTAGTCCGAACTCTGTGCCCGCGGCTACACGCGGCATGGAGTAGGTAGTTCGAATTAAAGATCCTAATT